GTAGCTGCGCAAGAGTACGAATGGCAGCAACTTTCACACTGTCCGTGCGGTCGTTTAGAAGGATCATAATGTAAGGCAAAATACGATCAAGCTTCGCCTCATCCGACAATCTCTCTGCAAAAGCAAGCAGGATATCGCAAGCTTTGACTCGGGCAGATGCCCTTGCTGTGTTGCGCAGACTAGACACGACAAGCGTTAAGAAGATCAGAACGCCATCGTCAGTTCGGAGCTGAGACTTTGCAGCCTGTGGCCCGTAGTTCGGGAGATCAAGGTGGATCGGGAACGCGTTCCCAGTAAGCCTGGAGTTACTGCGACTGGAGCCGTCTTTCACAGGCTTCGCAGATGCACTCAGGAAGTAAGAGATTTTATCAAAGTCATAGTAAGCCCTCTCAATCCTGTCATCTGACTCGCCCCTGTTTGCTGATTCCGCTTCCACTTGCGCCCTGCCCGACGAAGGGTCTGTCATCAAAGACATGTACTGATGAAGAAAGCTGTAGAAATACTCCGGAAAAGCTTTATTTTTCCAAAAGTTCAGGTATTCTTCCGCAGAATATCTCGACTCTGGCTCAAGCTGAATCATGTGGAGGATCATCTCTCGGATCTCCGGGTCCTCGATTTTGACCAGCTGGCTGTGCTGCGGACTGTATTCGCCTTTGCGGTATTTGTACATCTGACTTAGGGTGAAGATGGGCGCTTCTAGAAACAGCTCTGCAATCACGCATCCAGCACTGAAAACATCCATGGCCCAATTGAGACGCCTATTCCCTGGCTCCTCACCGGCCTCGAGGAACCGCTCAGGGGCTAGATAGCACGTTCGTCGACCTGAGGTATCAAAATAGAAAGAAAAGTCTGCAGGATTGTCCTCCGGCAAGAATGTGGGCTTGAAAGACGAGGAGAAGTCTGTGAGGTACAGCCAATTCCATGATGTCACCAAGACGTTCTCTGTCTTGATGTCGCCATGGAAAACATCCAATGAGTGACAATCTCGAAGAGCACATAGAAGTTGAAATGCAATCCATTTCTTCTCGATTTCTTCTGGGAATGGTCGAGTGCTACCGAGGTCAGAAAATTTCTGGCTGATAATATGTACGAAGCATACCTCATCCGGTCATATAGAGAGCTGTGAATATATTGGCGAACCAGATAACCCCCGGTGCCGGTCTCCAAAATTCTTTGATGGCTCAAAGCATTTGGGACATCAGAAAGCAGCTCGCGCTCCCCTAATACGTTGTCAGAGTATATCTAGGGCTGCTGCACGGCAAAACAAACTCACGAATGATTGCTTTGATATAGGATTCTAGCTTCATGCTGGGGTAAGGCTTCATGATTACCTTTACAAGAACGAGGCCATTTTGCTGTCTTGCTCGGATACTTTTCATGAACCGGCCGCCACCCATAGACTTCTCATACATCAAATCTGATAGCTCGGGAATGTCTATCCCAGCCGAACCCGTTGAAAGGGTTGTGAGGGAGTAGCCTTGCCCCATAGTGTCGCGACGACCTCATCTCAAGAGCTAACAAGAATCACGAATTTCATCCACCAAGAGTAGATAGAGAGTCAAGAAAATCTCAGAGACACAAGCCTACAACGTTGATAGAGATGATATTGATATTGAAACGATCTGTATGCAAACTCTCTGACTAGATGCCCATTGACCACATCATGTCCTGACATAAGAGTCGGGTGACGGCGACAACGGGGTCACATGACTTCAGGCGGTGTAGGTACTCACTTACAACGCCCACTATGCCGTTTCACCGGGCCAAGTCTTCCCCGTTAATTGCTTGTTTTCTTTGGATAGATCACCAATTTCAGAAAATCTACCTTACCTTACTTCTCGAGAAGTAGATCTTGGAGGTTCGTTCTTGCGCCGCCGAACGATGTTCCTAGAGATTACCAACAAATTACATCTTCCTTCGCATCTTAGAGTCGACGAGTCCTTTTGAAGGTTAACCATTCAACATTCTGAAGTGGTCTAACACCAAGCTAGCACCTCAAGTTAACTTAAGTACGGAGTAGATTTGCACCAACTAGTCTTTGGCGTCCAATCAAACAGTTTCGTCAGAGAGACAACTGGGCCGTCCTCCTCCCTGAGTTTTCCACCCTTTCAGCGAAATATGAAGGACTTGAATGAATTTTTGCAATTCGGCTCCTGAATTATGGGTCAGGGTACATGAGCCCCGCATTATACTTCACCTGGTGTAGGCTATAAGAAGGCCAGTGACAGTATCCAAGGGCTTGAACTGAGTTTCTCTCACCGAAACAATCAAACGACGCACCTACCGATCGTCGGCGACATAACGTCATTCGTGGTTATTGTAGGACACCTCGATCTCGTCGCGATCGTTTCGGGGAGGGCAAAGTAGCTGATAGTCGCAAGACTCGAAAAAGCATTTCCGAAGGAGACTGAACGATAACTTCCAACCAGCGTCCATCAGGATGGATGCGCCAGCCACATCTGTCTTACCGACTAGCGACGAATATCCAGAGATTCCTATTATCGATGATAACGAGAGTCTTGCCGAGGTGATTCGAAAATTAAAGAAGTAAGTTCAGCATGCATTTGCCCAACCTGTATGGGCGGGTCTAACTTGGTATATCACCAGTTTCCTCAACATAGCCGTACCTGATGTTGCTTGTACATTTGAGCAGCTGAGATCTTCTGCCTATGGACACAAGCTCCGGCTCCTCATCGGCTCTCTGGCCGAGAATTCACACAATCCTTGGATTATCTCTGCTCTGATGTAAGTTGAGAACCGAACTTATTTTGCAAAAGAACGACTCCTGAGGACCGCTCGTATCAGGATCTTGAAATGGCAGTTAAACAACGAAGACAACGACTCCGATTGGGGGTTGAACGAAAGTCGGGGCCATGCGTGTGAATACATCGCCTGGCAGTTCCTTTGTCACCTCACACGACGAGAGATGATAGATGTACTGCTTGAGGAGCTTCCCTCTCCCAGGCGAGATTCTGCAACAATCTCACAGGCCGAGCAAGGTGCATCCGGACTTGGGTCAATCTCCCATGAAGATGAAGGCAACGAGACAGAAGGTGAAAGGACTCCGCTATTGTTGAGCTCTTCCTCTTCCCTCTACCATTTCTTTGTCGGCAAAAGCCACCGAGGTGACTCTTGCGCTGGGGACACTCGGGGATCTCGGGGCTGGGATTATGATGATCCCGAACTTCATTCCTTCTCGCCCTTTTTTGGCCTCAACGCTCTGGAAATCGCAACAATCGCCCATGCTAAAAAGTTTCTCAGCCAGAAGGCTGTTCAAAGGGTGATAGACGATATCTGGAACGGTGAGATTGTTTTTTGGGACTCATTAAGTGTACATTCTAAGAAGAAGCCTCAGTTTTTCAACAAAAGGTAAGACATAGTCTTCCAGGCATTTACTGTTCACTAATATTTTTTGCGTTCCGCGCTACAGGACTGCGGATCCGTACTCAAGATTAAGAGTTCCAATGTATCGAAAAGCTTTTGAGGCCGCTTTTTTTGTTTCTTTCTTGTTCCTATACTACGCAGTCCTTGTTGAGAGAAAACCTACCGGCATAGGCATTTTCGAGACGTTGATGTATGTCTGGATAGCTGCCTTTGCTTATGATGAACTGAGTGGCATTGTCGACGCGGGGATGCTCTTCTACCAGATGGATTTTTGGAGCCTCTGGAACATGGGTATCATTGCCATTGGGCTTGCCTTTGTTATTGCGCGTGAGTCATTCGCCCCTGGTACAATCCCTGGGCCGGTAGCTCTTCGGCGAAGGCAACAAGCATGCATCGCTGTTCCGGTCTCCTTGCTGATCTGCGCGCGCAGGTATCGTTGGACTGGTCAAAGAGAGCGATTATATCACGGACTTATCATTCGACATACTGTCATTGGAGGCTTTGTTTTTGGTTCCAAGGCAAGGCTTGGACATCACCGACGATTCATTTGACGCCTCAGCTCACAACGTTGACTGACACGAGCGATTCACAGGATTTGCTCACTAGTGAGCTTGAACCCGTATTTTGGCAGCTTGGTAGGTCGGATGACCTTCTTCATGCTGGGAAGCACCACCTTCTGGAATACATACTGACAAGTTGCTGCGCATAGATACCTGTTTTGAAAGAGATGGTACCGCTTTCAATATCTCGGGTGCGCCGATGGGTGTAAGGCTGATTGATATGCTCTAGACCAAAGCCTTTTTCAGGTTCCTTCCTGTGGTCGTCGTTTTGTACATTGGTGAGTAGCTGAAGCGCTCAGGTCATGTCGAATTATGCCTCGTGCGAGCTGAACACTCCCTGACAGGGTTCCTCACCACATTCACTATGCTTGCCCGTGACCGACTGTCTCTGCGGCAAATGTCATGGATTCTTGTGAAAGTATTCTTTGGGTATGTCGGTGAAGATTCCCTATCTCCGACCGCTCTTTTGATTGACAATGCGAGGCAGATCGAGTGTCTTAGGATTTGTACGCTTCTTCCTGGTTGTTCTGTGGTAGAAGGACATGACTGACGGTGGCTTGATCGATTGGCTATTAGGACATCGCATATGATGTAAGTCTGTTGCTCTAAGTGGCTGCCATCCACGATGTGACAGGATGTCGACGGGTTTGGCAGAATCGATAGGCTCTCGTGTTAAGATAGCTAACGCGCTAATTTCTTAGATTTCCCCGATTTTTGGCTACAGTTTGATGTGAGTTTGATATACCTCTCCTACTGCGCCACACGAACCATGAAAAAAGCCAACCGCATACGGTTTTAATCACGTTCAACCTTGAAGTGGCTATGAATCTCGTCTTTCTTTTCTATTTCTTCCTTTCCTTTAATTTGGTTTATTTGCTTTTTGTCTCCAATTACTATTATTATTTTGTTTTCTTTCCGGGTTGATGCTGGTGGTGTGGTATGTGGGGTTGGCGCAGTTAGACGCCCGCCACCAGTCACCCCTCCAACGAGCCGCCTGACAATTGAATATACACGAAGCTTTCTGAAGGAACTTCGAAAGTGGAGCGAGAAGGAAGGATGGCGAAAGCACAAAACGAAGAGATGACTAATGTGCGCAATCAACAGGCTCTTGTTCGTGTCAATGACAAATTTGTTATTGATCTCCTCTCTGGTTAGCTTAATGAGCATGAGTCTAGAAGGGGTGCGTTTATTTCGACCTGCTTTGAAATCTCATGTGCAGATTGCTAAATCAACCTGCATATAGGTCATGGCTCATGCACGGGAAGAGTATCTTTTCCAGTTCGTAGCACCCCTGTCGCGCCTACTGATTCGATCTCCAACAGTCGTTAATGTGTTGCCAATAGGTTATCCATTTACGTCCTAGAAAGCAGCAACTCCAGGAGACTAACGTATTTTATGCCGCCTTTGGTAAGTCCTATCGTGGCTAACCTATACCCAATGAGCACTACTTGGCTATTAGCCTACCAACCTTGGCTTGGTTGCTCATATTAGACTTTATACCAATGCTAAACGGCACAGAACCTCATTCCACTTCTCTGCATTCGGCCCCTTAGGCTGTTTCTGTCCGCCGGACATATCCGTCGAGTTCGCATCGTTCTTCTCCGGGCAACCCACCTTCCTTTTGTTGCCTTGATCTGGGCTTTTGAGTCTAGCCGCCGCTATGTTTCGCAACGAAACAATCAATTTCCGCCTACTCAAGCGACTGGACAGCCTACCCCTTCTATACAGGCTAACTTCACTTTCTCCGCGCACCGCGCTCCGCTCCGTGCCTCCACAGTCGATACGTCGCAGCTGGGTTGTGGGAAACCCAAGGGATCGACTAACGCGGCTCAGCATGCGGAAGCCCGTGGAGGGTGCGGACTGTCCCCAGGTGAGGCCGGGCGAAATGACTTAGCGGGTATGATCGACGAGCTGGAACGGTTGCGCACCCAAGTGGAGCGCGTAGCAGCTACAGTAGCTTTCCACCAACGAAATCGACTGTGAGACTGTGGGACAGTAATTAGAGCAGAAAATAAGAACATGCTAGATATTCTGAGGCTAGTTACTCCGTCGACTAGTTTCAGACTTCCATTTGAACAGACCACGACCTAAAATGATAGACACACGCACTGACTGGATGGCTGGGGCCATAGTCTAAAAGACTAGCGCGAGCACCGGCCAGCGACAAGTCTGACTACTAACCATGGTTCAGGATGGGGCCTTTGGATTTCGTTATTATTGCTTAGATGCCTTAGTATATGCAGATACTGTCTATGGATAGACAACAAATATGTACGAAATTATGGAATACCCTGTAGATAACTCTCGGCCATCACCGTCTGCCGCATAGTCTATTCTTATCGCGACTTTGTTGAAATTCCTTTCCTAACCCTAAAAGGTATGCCTGAGTCATTCCCGTCTTTTGACGATTTTCATGATCTCCCGTGGCATTGCAAGTATATCTATCCTCACTACATGAGATGAAGAGTATTCGGCTCCTGGAGAATTAATCAAAGATTGAGTCATTTGTCGTGAGGTAGTCCAGGCGCCATCATCCTCAAACCAACAGTTACCTTCTAGCATAGATAAAGTATAGAGTCACTTTTGGTAATTGAAACATTTACTTGGCAGTCTGCTTGTGAAGAGACACTATTTGTAGTAAAGGTACTTTGTAGGCAATGCCCCTCTTTCCCCTGTTCCTGGGATTAGGAGAGGGGAGCGGCTCGACCAGGTTCTACTCCTGCTTCTTCGTCCTCGTCTTCCTCTCTGCTCTTCGACAACATCTCCTGCATCAACTTTGCACCCATCACCAACCGCCTTTCAGTCTCCCAACATCACAATCCTGCAGGACTCCCTTGTTTCTTCACACTCTGGCTTTCTTCCAGTCTGTTCCCAACTCTTGATTTCTGGGATTCCGCAGCTGTGCCAATCACACCCGGCGACACGCACTGCTCATTTGCCAAGCAAGGTACCAGACTGTCGGGTCGCAACTAAACCTCTTTGATGCTCGTCTCGCAGCAGGATAAGACGAAATGAGTGACCAGGCGGCGATGATCGGGGGAAAACAAGGTGGCAGTGGCATTCCCTCACCCCCCAGAAACTAGGAGGACGCGGTTATTCCAGTCGCAGAACGTGAAGAGAGAACGCTGGAGCACTTATCATTATTCTACCCATCCCATCCTACCAACTGGTCTTCCTTCACTCTTATGCAACCCCCGGTCCTGTGGGCTGCTGAGATAGGTATTTTCCCTCTCTCGTCACCAATCCATTTCTCTGCCCCCCTCTTTCTATTGTTTTTTTTTTTATTATTATGACTTGTTTTCCTTTGGAATTATTCCTTTTCAGACCCTGTCGAAGACAGTACCACACAGCAGGCCCCAGTGGGCTGCCTGTTTCTCCACCCTTTTTTCTTCGGCCACACCAAGCGTCGCCCCCTCAAATCCCCAGGAACATGGATCAAAATTAATAATTTGACAACTCTGGCTGATCACACATTTCCGGCGCTAAGTCATTGTGCACAAGTCTCCATCATTGCGCCTATCTGAATGTTGCAGACATGGCCTGCAATGATCAGTCCAGCCCGGCCCTGCCTAGCTAGCTTTCCCACAACCCCCTTCACAGTCTCTCTCGCTCCTCCACCGCATTCTCTCTTCTCTCCCCTTCCAAGTCTGCCTTGCCCACTCAGGCGTTAAGGTAATTGCTTTCCTTGTGTCTACTGCGCCGATGCGGCGGGAAATGTACACAGGTGAGCGTCATATGGCTGAATCTTCTGTCGTCTTCTCAGCCGCTACACATGTTCGCCGCAATACTTACCCTGCAACAGCATTGCTGTTGAGTCAAAACGCTGCTTTATATAATTTGCATGCTTTCTTCTTGTTTCTTTGATATTAATATCTTTTTCCATCCGTCCGAGGTCTCGACTGTGAGGTTGCAAACAGATCCGACTCAATTTACCCGGAGTTTAAAAAGGAACAAGACAAGTCAAGTGAATTACAGCTCCAGACAACATCTTTCCTTGCGATTGTGACAGCACGACTTCTGGTCATGAATTGGACCTCCGAATCCCTCCCGTCCGCTTCAACCTATGTTGTCACTTCATCTGATGACAACTCGATGATGATAGAGACAACTCACGGTTACGCGACTGAGGCCTTCGCGCATGCAAACTATCCCAGCAGTTCGCAGCCACCTACTGGTCTTGGAATCACTTACGTTGGTATGGAGGCTCAGTTCAGTCAGATGGGACTTTGCTCTGCTCCAGAAACACTGTCCCAACCGACGACCGACTGGCCTGATCAATTGATGCCGTCCCTGTTCGAGCCCTGTCTGGAGATTGAGAATCTTACCACTGGGGCATGCTACGAATCCTTCCCTGTTCACCATGATGTGTCCACCTCTCCCCACAGCCTTTATAGCCCCCAAACCCTAAGCGCATCACCGAGTTACTGTTCGACGTTGGATGTGGGAAATCAGGATACAACGTGCAGCCAGCCGTCCCATAGGTGGCCAGGTACGCCTTGTTCGGACAACACCACTCCTTTCGAGGGATGGTGCCATGTAAAGCAAGAATATGACGATTGCCCGGATCCACTGCTCTACTCTGAACCGAGTGATGCGTCTGGAGTCTCTACGTCCACAACGATACCTCAACTCATGGTGAACGACACCTTTGAAATCACGGCATCCCCTGGAAAAGAGAAGGGCGACACCGCTCTTAAGCCTGATCCCATATCAGAAGACTCCCTGGGCCACGGTCAAACGATACCAATACCCCAGACTCTCCAGTTCACCTCTCGGGCAGCCACGATGACATCAAATCATACTGACTCGTGCAAAGTGCCTTCTGCTAGCGGCCTCGTCTGCACCGTGTGTGGCACCCGCTTCACTCGACGCTCAAATTGCCGGGAACATATGAAAAGACACGATCCCAGCTGCAGAAAACTCTACCCGTGCGAGGCTTGTGGAAAGACTTTCGGAAGAAGGACTGACTTGAAGAGACACGTGGATAGTGTAAGTCGAGTGGGCCTGCTCGTTATGTCTATTGCTAATCCACGCGAAACAACAGATCCATCATGGACTGCGGAAGTTCGGTTGTGACAAATGTGACCGGCGTTTCAGCAGGCAAGATACTTTGGCAAGGCAAGTTCGCACCTTGTGTCCCATCTTTAGCCCGCCTCTGTTCTAACACGGGCAATTTTCAACAGACATAAGGCATATGGTTGCCGGCAAAAGTATCGAAGATCCAGTCCCAAGAAAGGCAGGGAACCCACCGGTTCCCCCTGTCAACCCGTTTCTTCTGGCTCGCCAGACGTACATCCCCAACCCAGCAAATGATTTTGGATCGGCACATGGCAAACAATTGGTATTTTGAGCTCGACACGGCTTCCCTGAAAAGACAACGACCTGGCCACGCAATTTGCGTTGACCGCATATTGCCAGTGGCCTACACACGACATCTTAAAGTCTTCGTTTGCAAGACTACAGCAAAGGTTCACGATCGACATTGCATACATTCTCAATAGAATAACGAATACCCCGGAGCATTTGAGCATTTATGGGAGGCCATTTTCTGTAGCATTTTCACTTACGCGAGCGGCAACAGAAGGCAAACCGAAGATATACCGGCGTTCTTTTTCTCTCCATACTGATTGATTTTGTTTCTTTGATTGCATGGATCTCATTGGCGGAGGGCAAAGCAGTCTTTTAGGCTGTCAATAACCGGCATAGCATAACATGTAAAGATAGGGACCTGGCGTTGACCACTGCGAGGTCATGCTGAGCGTGATGATTCGCAGGAAGCATTAATATGATCTCTAGCATCAGTTTAGATACAGCATCTGGCATATATCAAACCACTCAGCCAAAAGGGTAACTAGACAATCATCTCGCTAGTAGGGATGATAGCAGTAGGGTCAACACAGGAGGGATACACCAGCATCTGTTTAGTTCAATCCTCGTGTGAGAGCACTGATCCACCGCAACTCATGAGACCGCCTTGACTTCCGAGTTCGGACCAGCTGGCAGCCTAAGAGCTAGTTAACATGACATAAAGGTAAGGATGTTCGTGCTACGTAGATAGGCAAGTCCACTTTTGACTAATTCCACTTTTGACAAATTGGACAGAATACGAGATATTGTGGATGACCGGGAAAGCTAAACTTGATCCGCGACGCCTTAAAAATGTTCGGCTCTGACCGTCAGGGGACCGGCTCCACTCTGAGATTTGGAATCTCGATGAGTGCGTAGGTGCAACGAACAAACAAACTGCTCCCCATCTGCTCCATCACCCGTGTGAACTGCAGCAAGTTAAATATCATCTACTGGTTGCTGAAAGGAGTAAATACCGGCCTTGGCTCATTAAGACAGTGCTGATTAGTCTAATGATCTACTCCGTGCTTCAATCTCAAATTCACGTCCATCCTCATGTAGAGATTGACGTGACTCTGAGCGATGGTCTAGACTCATATAGGAATGTTCGCCCAAGCAACGAATTAGCCGATCATTATATCAAGACGACGGAATCGGCAATGCCGATAGGCTGAATATGCCGGAGTCCGTTTCCTTCGATACAGCAATCAACTTACCTTGTGCCTGGTCAAGCAGCTCGTATCAGATACTCCTACCATTGGCGGTGGTTTATTGGAAAGTTCGCCGAAGTACTCTGAAGTCGGATCTTTCCTTACCTGCCATCGGACGACGGGGGATTCGGAGCCTAGGCTCACTGCACGCCTAGATAGTCTAGTGAGGCACTTGCGCCGTAGTCCGTACACTACTCCGTACGCCGTACTGCTCAGCATTTTCTGACATGGACAATGATATGCTGGAATCATAAAAGTAAGGAACGTAGAGTATCAGTTGTCACCTAGACTATGACTTGTCAGACCACTGCATGTGAATACTAAATAGACCACATCTAGCTGATGATCCAGCAGTGAGAGTGCGAACCCTTCTTCTGATGCTGTACTCAATACTCCATACTTCGTACTCGTAGATTGTTGCATAAG